GTGTGTGTGTGTGTGTGTGTGTTTCAAGGTCGTTCAAGTGTGTTGGGAAAATCAGCTGTATGATGCGATGATCTACGTTTTCAACAGAGGCATGAATGACTACATTACACCTATGGAGGTAGGTTTCCACCTGAGGTCTGTGTCGTCTCTTCCATCATGTCAAAGCTAATGCAAATGTTTACTTTTAATTTAAATGACAGTGTGTAAACAAAGTACAAATCCTTACTTCAGGTTCAGATACACAGATTTAGGTCTGTCAGCGAAGCAGAGGTGGAGAATTCTGTGGTTTAATCTGAGTCCCTACAGCTTGTGTTTCACTGGGATAAGGCTTCATGAATTTTCAAGTTCCCAGATAAACTTTCTATGGTCAAAAGCTTCAAATTGTACCTGTTTCATTGGTGGGGTGGTAACATCAACTTAATTTCTTTAATTCCATTTTTTTAATCATAGATATCTGTGTTAGAGTCAGTAATTGATTATGTTTAAATTGTATATATTTTTTAGAAACTATTTGCAGTGATTGGACCACCACTTAGGGAGGGGAGAAGCCTAACAGGTAAGGCTGTTAGCCGCCCCCTAAAAGTACCAACAATTGTAAGGCTCAAAAGTAGAGTTTGAAAAGCACAATCAAATCTTGAACTATGAGCTTTCTCTTCTTTGGCAGATGAGGAAGTGGTGATGGGAAACAAACTTCTAGTGTACATAAGGTAAGTTCACACACTTATCGGGTTATTCTGAAGTCCAATAATCAATCGATCATCCAACAACTTGTATTTGTATAGCCCATATTAACAAATCATAATTGCCTCTTAGGGCTTAACAAGATGCAACATCCTCTGCCTTTAACTCTCCACTAGAGTGAGGAAGATTATCATCATTAATGAGTACAGCTAGTTTTACAAAGACAGTATTTCTATAGCTGCTACTGCAGGCGACAAACATTAATGTAATTGCATTAATGTTATTAATGAGGTTCCACCAAATTCAATTATTTTCATGTTGATTGCAAAATGCATGCGTCAGTGTTTGATAGTTATGATTATGAAATATTGGGCGTTTCTACCCGAGTGCTAAAAATTGGGAGGAGTAGATGCAAATACTTCAATTTAGCACACGCATTGTTTATTTACAAAGCCTGAAAAAAACTGCGATGGTTGTGACTTTGTCTATATTTAGTACATTTAAAAGGTAGGTCTGTGCCACCCTCCAAGGATCTGCCTCCTCAGACCATCACCCACCACCAAACGTGATGATGTTAACATTCACCACAGCTTCTCCAGACTCATTCATACCTGTTACATGTACTTAGTGTGAACCTGCTCTCATCTGTGAGTAGAACATGGCGCCAATGGCAGACCTGCCAATTCTGGTGTTCTCTGGCGAATGTCAGTCAGTCGAGCTGCTCCTCCTGTTCCTCCTCACACAAAGGAGCAGATACCAGTCCTGCAGCTGGGTTGATGTCCTTCTACAGTCCTGTCCAGCTCTCCTTGTGTAACAGCCAGTCTCCTGGTATCTCCTCCATGCCATTGAGGCTGTGCTGGGAGACACAGCAAAGGAGCTGGACTACCTGTGCAACCTGATTGGGCTGCAGGTCCCGCCTCTTGCTACCAGTAGTGACAAGAACACTGGCAGAACCCAAAACTAAGGAAGAATCAGTCAGGAAGGATAAGGAGAGAGCCACCACATACAAAACCATTTCCTTGTTAGGGGTTGTCATGCTTTTGCTTCTCCATTGCACTTGTTGATTGATTCACAATCACTTGTGCTTTCTAGATGGACAGATTGATATCCCTGAAGTTTAACTGACTTGCTGTTATACTGAGACGATTAAGTGTTCCCTTCATTTTTTAAGGAAACACTTAGGGAGCAGTGCATTTGATTGATTGTTCTAAGTTCACAGATTTATGGGGGTTGCTGGGATAGTCATTGTAGAGGCAGCAGATGTCAGTGCTGCCACAGTTAAAGAGGCGCTTATCAGTGTCTGACAGGCAAAATAACATAATGTACATACATTTTACCTTGTTGAAAAAAACATTATTTTCCTCACTCTAAAGTCGAGGGTTAAGAAATGAGGACGTCGTACCATAAGCCCTTTGAGTCAAATTGTGATTTGTAAATATATTGGCCATACAAAAAGAAGTTGATTGAATTTGATTGATTTAAAATATGGCTGAAAAATATGAATGTGTGTGTTGTCAGAAGTTTATTTGTATTTTCACTTGTGTACATAGCTGTTGTCTAGCAGGAAGAGCATATCCACTGGGAGACATCCCTGAAGACCTTGTGATTCAAGTCAAGAACCAGGTATGTAGATACGTGATATGGTATGTATGTTATATAATTATATTAACAAAACCGTTTCAGTGGTTTTTGTTGTCTTGCTAACACACAACTGTCGATGAAAACATAACTTCTGAGGTCATTAGCAGTAGAACACTAAGAAAGACAACACAGGATCCTGAGTGATCCAAGTCCCAGCTCGAGAACCTAATATTAAGTGATTAATACTGTGTGTGTGTGTGTGTGTGTGTGTGTGTGTGTGTGTGTGTGTGTGTGTGTGTGTGTGTGTGTGTGTGTGTG